TGCCTATTTGAATCTACCAATAACGTTGACGATTAGAATATTTACTGTGTATGTACATTCTAACCTACAGTATAGTGCATGCACATAATTGTATATTTGTGTAGATGTGTTTATATATGCACTGTACAAGTTATCATGCTGAATTATGTCCCTCACTTAGAAAACTATATTTTGTTGCGTCATTCAAACAAGAACAAGTGTCCACGGCCTCGCTCGCAACTCTGTGAGAATGAAACATGGACATATAAGAGATGGATAAGCTAAAAAGGTTTTGACGGTTCCTGGTTTGCTTTCCGCTTAGTGTGGCATACTACAAGTGTGGCCTACCACAAGTGCACATTGGTGTTTTTCCCTCTGGTCCTGCCCACTGAGTCCCACTCGTCCCATACACTCATAGAAAAATGTAATTAAATAAGTTCAGTGTCCTATCAAAAGATGTACAGATGTCTCTTTTATACTTTTATGGAGAAAAGGCTTCGCTGGGCTGCAGGAGTTGTTGTTTTTTGTTGGCAACTGGGACAATTTGGCAGCAAGGCTGGCAGGTGACTCCATGTCCAGCTCTCTTGATATATCAATGGGCCAATGGCCAATGCTTTGACCTGAATTCCAATGACAGCATGCTAACATGCTCACAATGTCAATGCTACAGTCAAATGCAGATGTTTAGCTGGTATAATGTTTGCCATCGTAGTTTACTGTGTTTGCACATTAACATTTGGAAATTTGTACAAAACATGCTGATGATAATGCCATCAGTTCTGCAGGTTTTTGGTTATAAACCAACAGTGCTAAAAAAAAAGTCAGGGGGTCACTAAAGTTATTAGGATTCATCCTCTGGCCATCATGGACATCTACCAAATTAATGGCAATTGATCTGTTAAGGAGACATATCACTAAAATTATCAATCTAATGTTGGCACTATATGAAAAGTCAGGGGGTTACCAAGGTCATTACGATTCATCCTCTAGGGCCCCCCCCCCCCCTGTGGAAAACTTAACAGCAATCCATTTTTTTTTCACTCTGGACCAAAGTGGTGTAATGACCAATATTGCCACTGCTAGCATGGCTATAAAGGTCCAGTAGATGCTAAAATGTATCGGAACACATATCTATCAAAGCTAATTCTTTCAACAATTTGATTGGCCTCACTTACTTTAGGTTTGCCTTTATATGCACAATATGAATGTAATGTCCCAATACTCCAGATTCTTATGCACTCATATTTTATTATCTCCTAAAGTACCTACTCTACCCTCAATTTATAAGCATCACTCTCTTAATTGCTGCAATACAGATCACCACCCTCTTACTTAATTAATGCAAATGGGGCAAGCAAGCATTGAGTATTGCAAATAATCCTCTGCCTTTGTCATTAGATTTCTTCATACCAGTGCTTTAAGGCCATTGTCTGTGTGATTAGCTAATAAAGAGCTCCTAATGTCTTGTCTTGCACTAAGAACGCGCATCCTCCTTGTAATCCATAAGCTCTTAAGGCAGCCATAACTGTCTTATTCATGTCAGGCCAACAATGAAACCAGTAAAGGGTACAAAAGCAACCTTTACAGACCATACACACTCACACACACTTAATATCAAGGAGTGAAGAGCAGAGAATTGAGTGTGTATGGATAAGAGCATTATCTACCATCAATTAAAGATGGAGATAGGAAGCAAGACGTTTTAATGTCGGCCTTGAGAGGCTTGAGTGGGCAGAGACGTGGAATCAATAGCATAAGAAAACATAATATATTCTCCCTTTGAGTATTTCTTTTGAAGGGCAAAATACACTTTGACACAGCACTGATTGTGGGATTTTAAGGCTCTAAATGATACAAACATGAAAATTACTCTTCACTTTTCCCGTGTTATTAAGACATTGTGAATAAGACAGGCAAACATGGTCTGTGTGCTGCATTTTCTGTATGCACTGGCCTTTTTTGCCTTGCAGCAGTTTAGTTCTTAACTTGAATGCACTACTCGTAGATGTGATTTGTTCAAACTCACTGTAACACTTCGGCCTACCTTGATGCCAGCCCCAATAGACTGCCCTTACACCTCGTCATCACTTTGGCTCAGTGGAAAACCCTGAGATGATGCCAGCAGCAGGCGAGCTGCCCACCGCCTTCTCAGTGACAGTTAACATGCCTATTATTTGTGGGTTTCCCTTAAGCCTGTCCAACACATGAGGTTATCTGGACCGGATAAAGGGAAAGGGAGCTGTGTCCGTGTTCCAGCCCCAGAGGCAGGATGAAGAAACACGCTGAGGTGGGGAGTCGAGAGGGGAGATGCTACGAGTTACACACAGTGAACCTATTGGGTTCACCCTCAGGGTGTGTATGAGTGTGTGTGGTTTGGGAGTCGGAAGAGGGTGTGTTTGGCCATCTCCGTTGTGGTGGAAGTAACCAGGGATAGGGAACTGCGCGAATGGACGGAAAGAGGGGAGGGGTTAGGGGTGGAGGAAGCGAGGCTATAGGAAACAGAATAGAAGAGAGGGTCATTAAGATTATTGCTGTTATTGTGTGTATGGCTTTGAGGGGTGGGGGTGGAGGAGGCGATATTGTCAGTGCCTCAAGCCTTTGGTCATTTCCACAACACAGACAAGAAATCAAATGTGGAGCATCACACCACAGAAGATAGGATAGGATTATCCGAGTGTTTAGCCGTGTCTTTGACATGTTATGTTTTCATTACATTTTACCTTGGGGGCAGAGTGACGAGAAAATCCTGCTGATCCATACCGGACTCCATCCCAGAAGCTTTGTGTCAGTGCATCTCCTCCTCTTCCTCCTCCTCCTCCTCCTCCTCCTCCTCCTCATTGAGGGAAAACCAAGCATTCTAATCGTCACCATAAAGCAGCACAAAGAGCACAAATCCATGCCACTGCAATATCATCAAGATTTCAACACTTTAACCAAACTCAATTTAACTTTATTGAGTTGAATTTCCAACCGTATTTGTGATCGGTCGGTCTGTTGTTGGTAGGTGGTCCACCCTTTGGTCCAAACTGAATACCTCAACAGCTACTGGATGGACGTCCATCACATTTAGTCATGGTGCTCAGATGATTATTCTTATTGACTTTGCGATCCCCTGACCCCTGACTCGAGAGACGCAGCTGGTTGAAGCTTTAACTTATTCTGTAAAATATCTCAACATCTACGACACAGATTGGCACAAAAACATTGTAAAAACAGTCATGGTTTCCAAACAACTAAGTCAAATGGCTTTGGAGATCCCCTGACTTTTCCTCTAGCATCACCCCCTGTTCTGAAAAGTGCAGGCAATGCAGAAATGCCTTAAACTTGCATTCTTTTAAATGGCCATTAGGGGGCATCTTCTTCTGGTTGGAAGAAGATGTGAGATTTATAGAGAATTCTCCCTTGATTTATTACCTCAGTAAACATTGTAAACTTGAGTTTATGGTCTCACTCGCTAGATTAAAGTCTTCTTCAATACACCAAAATGTTTATTTAGCAAATAATGTCCCATTTAGAGTGAAATAGACAATCAAGCAGGGTATGCTTGGGTAGGCGTGGCTACCTTTTGATTGACAGGTCAACCTCAACGGAATCACCATGAGGCTGACATTTGTGGTTTTCAGAGAGATGTTTCAACCACTGTTGGAAAGATGTTGAGCTTGTCAGAGCCACTACCATGGCTGTAGACTCTTTACACAGCAGGGCCGTGATGAATAAATTACAGAAAAAAGACATTGTTCTGTCACTGTGTAATCTTCGCATTCTGCATGAAAGTATTCACGACAAAAACGACAGTTGGAAAAAACGTATTCATGTGTAAATGAATTGCATGAAAAAACAGTGTGTAAAGGCCTTTAGTCATTATACTTCATAAGGTATAGAGGGGTCTGTGAGGTATTCACTATTGGTAGGTTGTTAACAAAACATTGTGACCTTTGACACACCATGCTGTGCTACGATAGTCCTTCTTGTTACATTTCATTGGGTCAAGAGTTCACAGTCAATCCATCAATGTCTACAGAAGCTTGATGCCTATTTTTAGAAAGACTAAAAAGGAAGAGGAGAGGAGAGAAGCAATGAAGCAGGTCTGTTGTCAGCAAACAACCGCAAGATTTATTATGTGATCGCTCCCTGGTCACCCGGATCTGGTTTCTGCAAACATCATTGTGGCCTTTTTTACCCACTTGTGTCCCACTTTAGGGGTTACAAACTACTGTTCCCTGTGGTCAGACCAACCTCCTTTCCAGTTCCAACTCAGATGTTAATGATCCAACACATGGTCTTTTAACAACAGCAGCCGCTCACTGCAGAGTCCACCTACTGTTGATTGCTTTGGCTTCCACGTTGTGCCAAAAATCTGCATATTATTAAAAGCTTGATCTCAGTGTGGAGGAGGATTCTTCAACAAAAGAGACATTTTCCATACGTGGGAATCATAGAAAATATCTTTTCAGCTTTGACCCGATCTTCCACACAAATGTTGGGGGAAAAAATTAATGCTGCCCTTTATGAATACATGCAGAACAGCAACACACACTATTTTAAGGGGGCAAGACTACAAATGTAAGCATTAAATGTTCTCAATCAAATGAGAAAAAAACCTAATCCTGTCCGATACCAGATCACAGATTTGGAAACTAATATTTGGGAAAATTGCATTAAACATTGCTTTCATGCGCAATCCTGTTTTTATAAGATTTCCTTTGATCTGCTTAAAATAATCCATCATAATTTAAAGAGCACAGGTTGGCTGCATTAATTTCCCAAATGAAATGAAATAAAGATGGGTTCGGGAAAGGGACTGTAAGGAACACTGTAGTGGGAGCAGAGATTTCTTTACCAAATAAATTGACATGAGCTCAGTTGAAAGGACTCTTAGTTATTGCAAAATTTATTTCGCAAAATTGGTATAAGCAACATGATACCCTGGCATGTTTATAATGCATAGCATATCACAATATGCTTCACATAAACGTGAACTAAAGTACTTCGATTTTGTGCAGTGTATCTGTTGTTTTCAGCTGTTCTTGTTTTTGTATACATATCAATTTACTTTAAGGTTGTATACTTTCACTATTGTTTCGCCAATAGTGGAGTCAATATATGCACTAACCTAGGGGAATAAAGAGCCTAAATGCAGCAAATGGAAGGAGCTCGTAGCCGTAACTATTGTCAATAGTGAAGCTTCCACCAAAACACCAGGAGATGGAAAGATCTGTGATATACATATTATATACTATTAGCCCCCAAAACTCACACAGAATCAAATGAATGCAGCCAAACATTCTTGCACACAAGCACATGCATTTACCAAAACATAAACACAAAGAGTAAGACATGCAAGTAAGTGCATGTGCATTTACATGCATAGGGATGGACACAGACTCACACAGAGTGAGGCCAAGGAGAGGAAGGCACACCATCCCTGTATTAATTTTTCATAACATCATGCTCAATACAAAATGCAATAAGTGTTTCTTGTAAGACGACTCCTAGGCACTTATAGCACTTGAGCATGCAGCAAGGTTCTCCTCAGAGGTCCAGCCAGTGTGTTTGTCTGACTTACTTTGTCTCTGGCAGGATGACATCTGATGCTGAAGACACCCAGGGGCTGGAGGAGAGGAGAGATCCTGCACATGATAGAAGAGAAAGAAGAAAAGAACAGTAAGCTTCAATCTTTCAGTAGCAAATTCCCAACACCGAGGAGGAACAGTGTTAATCCTTCTGTTCACAAACCATGATACACACATGTATAAAATGTACAATATTTCAGTCTTTTTGTTGTTCATCCACACAAGTTAGGCCTCCCATTCTTAACACCTGACCTCCAGCTCTAGGTGAATTTTAGCAACAGTAATCCCCCCCCCCCTAAAGAAAAAACAAGGCTTTGTCACACCCCTCGGAGTCTAACACCTAGTCAGAAGGCAACCTTTAGGGTCTGTATGAGAACCAGCGGGCTTTCAAGTAACTACAATGTAAACCCGTCCGCGTCATTATTAGATGCTCAGAGAAAATGCTACAGGAGTGTGATAATATAGTATAAACACAGATAACTCACACAGGGCAAGCGAGACGGAGGGGAAGCAGAGGAGTCAAACATACAGATTACTATCAACCAGGAGACAGATGTTATGTGAATAACCGAGATTGTTATTCGTGCCAAAGTGCGGTTTAAAAAGAGTTATTTTAAAGCCACGCTCGTGTGACGCGTTTTCCTTACTCATGTTACATGGTTTTCTGTTTTCTTTACTTCCGTTACATTGTTTACGTTTGACTTAGTTTACGTATTTTTAGCCCAACCATGATGTTATTTCCTTAATCCCAGTGTTGTTGTTTTTTTTTACCTTATTAACCTAAGCAAGTGTTTTTGTTTGAATTCACAATGTTAACCACTGCGACCGTAGTGGAGCGTCATAGATTGGCTACCCAGTGCGTTAGAAAGTGACGCCAAGGGTCCAGACCCAGCGTCTGTATGTGACGAGTAGGGATGAGAACGTGTTGATTATTCCTACCTATATTTGTACAGTGTGGACATGGTAACTGGTGATGTAACGTAGCCCATTAGTGGCATGACTCTGGCTCTAAGGACCACGAGTAGAACACTGATTAGGATGACAGATGGATGGCGGGAGATGGGCGGTGGTTATGAAGCAATTTTGGGATAGGGTAAAGAAGCACCAGATGTGGGGGTAGAGATAACCATCAGACACGTATTGATGCATGTACGCCGACAGTGATTATAGCAGTTTACATGTAACATAGGAGGTTATACAATGTAATGACATATATAAAATAGCATGGTAAGTAACCAAATATGGCCACATGTTTTTACACGGCTGGAATATGTCCATATAAAGTAAAAAGGTTCCTGTTTTATCAAGTTGATTTTTTGAACACCGGAGTGCAACATTTCTCTCCCAACTAACCAATTTCTGTCAGCAATTAGCTTTCTGGCTAATTGGTGTTAGTGCAATAGAATAACAGCAATCTCAGGATTTGCACGAGTCAGCTGTATGTTTGGGAAGGCTTTGAGAAAAAAGGACATTGACATGCAAATGATTGTCTTGAACTTTATTGAGCGGGTACATTTAAGTTAATTTGCCGTTGGGAGTGGCTAATGGAAGTAGGCTCCTCCAGTAACTCTTAAGGAGTCAATCCACCTGATTTAGCGGAAGCCAGCACATAGATCTCTTGATTGACAGAGCTGTTACTCTGCGTGTGACATAACTGACAGACAGAGAGGAAGAGGGAGTGAGGGAGGGGTTTTGGGAAGTCCAGCACAGCTCTTCTAGTTCCTGCATGATACCAAGACGCCCTCGTGTACAGTCTATTCCAGATGTTAGGGTTATCCTGCTGGGAGAAGCAGTCAAGTATTGTTTTAAAGCCTTCAGGGTGAATCATAAATGTTGCACGGGGGACCTCATGAAAAATGCAGTACATACGTATGCCCCCTTAGCTACAACAGAGCACTGATGGACCTCTGGGAATGAAGCATGTTAGTGTAGCATTATGCTACGATTACAACTAAAACAAGAAAGGGGCTTTATGGGGATGACATTATATATACAGGAAGTTAGTTAATTAACCCTCAGAGTTTATAACAACAAAGCCCAGATCTAAAGGCCTTAACTCTGAATATGTAATCAGCATTATGGAACTTTTGTATGGCTGAAAAAGTCTTCAGCTCTCTCTTAAAGTCTTTTGTATTAGCTTTCCCTGACTCTGCAAGTATCTACGTTGGATGTCTCTCTATGTGTGTGTGCAAATATCCCATCATGTCTTTTTTTTCTGTAAAATGGGCTTGTCTGACGATGCTCAAACACTCTTGTCTGAGTGTGTGCGTGTGTGTGTGTGTGTGTGTGTGCATGTTTGCCCTTTTATAGATGTGTGTGAAGGACCCAGCAGAGGAGCTAAAAGTAAAGCGTCAGGCCATAATTGGGTTATAGGGACCGGTGATGGATTAAAGCACGGCTAGGGAGACGCTGCAGCAACATTAGGGTGTCTGAGATGTCAGTGGCAGAGCGCTCTCATTAATCGCCTTGGCCCTTACATTACTGCATTAGTTGTATTAGCAGCTAGGAGTCGGCAAGCACTTTGGGATTTCTCGCTGAGGCAGGCCACAGTCCTCTCTTTCTCCTCAGAAATTGGCATGGTGACTCACGTTTTTATTTTATTTTTTTCAGGACAGAGGGTAAGACAGAAGAAACAACCAAAAAGGACAAGATGTATCATTTATTTTACTTAAAATGTAAGTAACTTTGCCAGGTTACGGTAATCATGTCACCCTTTTGGTATGAAGACTAACTCAAAAATATGACACTTGGTAGATAATTTACAGTAAGTACATGTGCGCACGCACGCACGCACACACACACACACACACACACACACACACACACACAATCAGTCATCCCACTTCTCAATAACCTAATAGTCTTCCTGTGAAAATTGATTTTTAGGAGCATGTTCCATGACCCCAACGCCCTACCACCACCATCACAATCTCAGTCCTCTTTTTCTTCTTTCAATTCCATCCATCTCCCTTGCAGTACAGATATTTACACCGTAGCTGTTATTAATAAGCAGAAATTGATTTTGCTTTGAAGTAAAAACATTACGTGAGCAGTCAGGGTGGTGTTGGTGGCTGGGCTTCTCTTATAGGCCGGGGAGGTGGGCGGTGTTTTGCATTTGTCTGATGGAGAGGGGTGGGTGGGTCAGAGGTCATGAGGGAAACCAGGATGTATAGACTAACATTAGTGATCCTGAATGTTCAACCTATGTCCATTCCCTCTTTGTGAAGTGAGCGCTTCATCACTCATTCCCCCCCCCCCATCCTCCAGAGGCGAAAGTATGTGACTTAATCACAGCTGAAGTGTCGCTGATTGCCTCAGAGCTGTTGGTGGCCGAAGCAAAACCCATAGTGTCCATGGAAGCAGACTGTCTGGTCAAATTATTAATCAGCACACCTCTGCACACACACGTATAGATAAAAACATCCTCTTTAAAGGGTTGGTTCATCCAAATTACACGGCCCCTGGTCATCAGTGTGGGGCAGTAAAACATTTCAGTATTGTTATTCATTTTTGCAATGTAAAAAAAAAAAGAATAGATATAAAAGTTAATTAATCAGCACCATCTCCTAACAATGCCTCAGTAACTCACATATGTCACACATCTAGCTGTGAAGCTACTTTCTTCTGAGGAAATAGCCCTTACGAAAACTGTTGAATAACCATTTAATCTGTGCCCTCTGGAAAGGAGCATGAAAGACCTGTCATATGAGTTAACATAGATCGCTTTCTCATGGAAGGATGAATAGCGAGGGGCTGAGGGCCGCGTGTTTGAGAAGGTGGGCAGAGGAAGGATTGATGTTGGATCACAGTCGCATAGAGCACAATTTCCCATGAGTGTCCTTGGGTATCTGATCTGTGCAAAGAAATACTGGACCCCCTTCCTATTGTTCCTCACACTTTCGTGCGAATGCACATGCGCGCACGCACACACACACACACACACACACACACACACACACACAGGTATCTGTTTGTCTTGCGAGCGCCTCTGTTCACAGGGAAGGGGTTGTCCTCCTGCTCCAGGACAAGGTATTAGCTTTCCCCTGAGGGAGAGTTCTAATTAGGTAATTGACTGATGTATAAAGCAGGTGTATGTATCCGTTACAGCTGGCTCGACCTGTTCATTATTAAACAGTGACCCTCTCCACCACCCGTGCCAAAGCCTTCTGTGCAGGGGAGAAAGTGGCCGGGAAGAGCTTTCACAGGGATCAGGCGTACTCGTAATTACACTTGCTGGTTACCCGAGTCTTACCCCCTTTTACTGTTGCATGTTGAACGAGACCCCTGGTGCTCAGTCTTCCACTGATTGAGCGCATTGCTGCATTGCTGTCACTAAAAAAGGTTTTCTAAAAAGTCAAACAAAAGGTGATTTGCAGGGAACAAATTGTTTCAGTTGTCTTTCCGGGAAATCGATGAGATTTTGTTTTGTGGAAAACACACGATTACTGAATTGTTTAAAATAGCATCATATCTGACAGGTCACAAAACTTTTTATCCTCACACATTTGTACATTGACAGGCGAATGAAACTTGAGCTACTACACGGCAGAAGGGAGATGAGAAATTTGCCAAGTGCAAGCAAGCAGCACTTCATTCTGACACTTTGACATCGGTGAAATATATAAAGTATTGGGTTGCTGTTAGGCCTATAGCCCAGTTTATTCACATCAGGAGGCCCAACGATCAAGATATGGATTGATAGCGGAGACAGGAATTGATTCACTGTGTGTGTGTGTGTGTGTGTGTGTGTGTGTGTGTGTGTGTGTGTGTGGTGTATGCATGTGACAGCAGCCTCAAAATGTGAGTCAGCCGGTACATTTTAATTCAGCAAGTTACACATTTCATTTCAGAGTGTGTAAGTAACAAAGGCCAACGAAACGGGCTGCAACAGTTTTTGGACCACAACTTATTCATTTGAGCCAGACCTGGACACTGGCTAGCTTATAAAATGTTACCATGAAAGACCATAAATTACATCACATTTTGAAATTGACTTGTCAATCTTTTTCATTTTTGCTTTGTCTTCCTGTGCAAGTAACGACAAATCAATGGAAATG